GCCACGTGGCTGGTGGGCCGTGGCTCTGCCGCCTTTTTGTGGTGACCCCTGGCACCACCAGGTCTGCCATGAAGAAGTGCAGCTTCCCCCTCAAGAGTGAGACACTCATCTTTCCCCACTTGACTCTGGAGGACCCACCGGCCCTGTCCTCCCTGCTGAGTGGGGCTTGGAGGTACCATCTCAGCCTTCACATCCTGGAGCTGGGGGAGAAGCCTGACAATATGACAGAAAAGCCCCTGCCCAAGACTCAGCCATAGGTGAAGGTGCTGCTCCACCTTCTAGGTAGAGAGCTGGGCTGGGACAGAGCCCTGACTCTCTTCCTTCCCTTTCCCTTCCAGAATCCCCACCTCTCCTGTGCACAGCTTTTGACTGCTCCACCTTCTGGGTAAACTGACACCCATCTTCCCTCAAAAACCAAAGATCTGACCAGTCACAGTCCTGATGCCAAGGTCCCCAAAGAACCTGGTGAAATCAATGACGCAAAATGCCTGTTCCTGCCCTATTCCTTCCAGCCACTGTGATGTTTTTTAAACATATAAATAGCACCTGATTGTGAAAGGAGACAACAATCTCCTAATGACTTTCCTGAATGACTCGCCCCAAACCTTCCAGGATGCCTTACCTCTTGCTGTCATGACAACCCTTTGGCTTCCTAGATACCTGGAAGGAGGCAGTGTAGTGATGTAGAAAGAGCAGGTAGCTCATATTCAGAGGAGTTAGTTCTCGTCCCTGGTCTGCTACACACTGGCTATGTAATCTTAAGAGAGCCCCTTCCCCTCACCCAGCCTCAGTTTTCCAGTCTGTACAATGGATCAGAAGGTCTCTGAGGTGTCTGCCAGCTAACACTGTGTCATTCCTGGGTCTGCAGCACATGTTCCCTGGCCAGACAGGCATGTCTCTCCCAAAGCTCTGTAAGCATAGAAGTGGGTGTGGCATATTTAATGGCACTTCAGGGCCTACCTACGGTCTCAGTGCTTGGTTATTACCAAAAAAAGTAGTTCTGGAACTTTTCTGCCCACCCACTCTCTTACTCCTGTCCCTGAGAGAGGTGATGGAACGTTTCTGCATCTCACCTTTGAGGGATCAAGCCCAGATGTTCTCCCTTCTCAGTTGGCCCCAGTGGGAATGGAGATAGAAGGCTCAGTCAGTATCTGGTGGCACTTGAGCACAAAACCTTAAATGTGGTCTGGTCGCTCTCCAAGCTCAAAGCTTCTGTCTGGATCCCCTTCACAGGACGGAGAGCAGACCCCGGGCCAAACCCACACCTGCCGCCCTGGTGGAAGCCATCAGACCGGGGCGTGTTGCTCCTCACAACACAGGGCGCCCCCGCCCGGTCCGCTGGGAATATGAGGGGCTGTGGCACTAAGCTTGTCCTCGTTCTCCCTCCTCACGCCCCTGCCATCTCGTGAGAACAAGAAGCACCCAGGCCACTGAGAGCTGTATGCTGGAGGAGCACAGAGCAGGCGGCCAAACCTATACAACCGACCAAACCTGAGCGCTTTTCTAGTCCCGCCTTCTGCTGGCTAAAGCCTCGGGTCATCTTAAAGCTCCACCCACCGCAGGCAAGCTGCTCTGTGGCTGCTGCTGGGTCCTAGTGCCACACTTTGCTCAGGACTCCAACCCCAAGGGAGAGAAAGGTCAGTGCCATGCTAGTAAATGTTTAGCAACCCGTTCTCTAAGGGCAAACTAGCCCCCATTTGTAGTGTTTTCTGACTTGTGTGGTGTAAATACTCTTACCGTGGCTGATTTCAAACTACTAAAATGATGTTACTCAACTTGGGAGGAGATGCCAAGGATCTCTCTCCTGAGCTGGCTGTTCAGCTGGCTGTTCGGATATTTCCCTCTTTAAAACTCTACAGTACCTGTTCATGACAGTTCACTGTTGTTTTGGTTGGTTTGTTACGAACTTCAGATTGGTCTTCCTACCTGTACTGCTTAGCATCATCTCTGGCACCCGACAGCACTTATTTACTTTGCAGCCAAAGATGGCTTTTCTGCCCAACAGATAAAACCAAATGCCACCTTGAGACACCCCAGATTCAAAGGTCCCAAATTCCTCTGGGCTTCTCGGGACTTCTCTTCCCCAGTTGGGTTCACAACCTCAGAATTCCCTGGAGGAGCTGTTGGTGTAGCAGTCCGTGTAGACTGTAGTGATATGACCTGTAACAAATTTGTCTGTAAAGTGTTGGTATCTAGATTTGTGTGGCACCAAGGGGTGATTTGGAATTGTCCTGCAGGATAGTGGAGTGAGTTACTTCCCTGCTTCACTTTCTGACAAAGCTCAGAAGAGCCTGAAAGGTATGTTGGGAGATTGTTGTCACTGGGGATGGTGGGAAGAATTTGGTCTGCTTCTTTAGTAATAGGGTACCTGGTGGGATGACAAGCCACTGACTACGAACACTGGAGGCTTCTCCAACAAAGCGGGAAGGCATCCAAATCTCCTCTAGCTGGAGCAGAAAGGACCCAGTTCTCTCTCTCTGCTCTCAGGCTCCTTTTACAAAAACGGAGGGAAATTAGTTCCTTCACACTTCTTCCGCAAAAAATAAACTGCCTTCATTTCTTGCTTTCCTTCCTTTCTTACCAAGTGGCCAGCTTGTCCAGAAGCTTCATTGCTTCCTGCACTTCCTTTTTGTCTCTGCTAGTCTAGAAAAAGACCCAACTGTGAGTGTGCTTGTTTATGTGGAGGGTAAGGGATTGGGCTGGGGACGGCTAACATTCTGCTCCTCTGGTATTCAGATCCAGAGACCAAGGAGTGGGATTGAAACCAATGAGGCAAACAAGGCAGTAGAATGAACAAGCTCCTCTGGCTCCTCACTGCCAAGGTCAAAGGAGAGTCCAGTGAGTTGCCTCTGGTCTGGGAGAGGGAGGACAGGAGGGTAGGATGCCAAATTAGAACTCTGTCATTAGGAGAGTGGGACACTGGCCTCAGAGAGGATTAAATAGAAGCCCCTCTGATGGGAAGACTGGAGGATGGAATGTCAAATCAGAACTTTGACCATTAGGAAAGTGGAGGACAGGCTGCTTTTGCTTCTCCACCCTATCCAGTGACTATCAGAATGCCAGAGTACAAACTGGTCACCAGCCTAAAAGCTTCTTGGGCTTCGAGCTTTCTAGATTGCAAGATGAACGTGTGTAGCCTGATTAGAGACAATCAATGCATACAATGGATTTCCTAATCGTGGCTTTGTTAGCTGGAGCATAGCCTTTAGAGTGCATCCCAGACCCTCTAAAATAGGGACAAGGAATCCAGGTAGCTTGTTCCATGGTAGGCAGTTGTCCTAAGACCCAGTGATGATAGTGGTTGGTGGCAGGGAAGGGAGGCTTTGAAGGTCAGGGTAAATGTGATTAGGGACGTGGGCCCTGGAGTCAAACACCTGTATTCACATTCCACTCTGTAAGGCCTTGGGCAACTTAAGTAGCCTTATACTTCCTCATATGAAAGTTGTCTTAAGGAGTGAGATAACCCACACAGCGTGCAGTTAGCAAGTGCCCAGTAGAGAGTAAGTACTCAATATGTGCTAACTACTATTACCATAGGCCTACAAGTCCCCAGGAATCCTAAATCCACCTTGCCAGAGAAGTAGGGAGCTCACACTGAAACCATGGGTAATGAGTCAATCCATTTCACCTGCCTTCACTAATCAAGGTCATTTTAAGACTCACAAGGCCTCCAAGCAGCACAAAGCCTAAACAATAAGATGTTTGATGGAGTTGTTTTCCAGGAATTTGCAGTTGGCTGTGTCTAGTTCAAGCTCTGGGCATGCTCCTGACCTTTTGACATCAGAGGGCCGAAAACTCCACCGGCAGAGGCAGGTGGTGCTAAAGCCTCCATTTTTCAAGCTGCAGATGCATGTGGCTTAGTTACACCTGTGCAGAACTACAATTATCACACCTTTCTCCAATCACCTTTCCCCACGCTCCCCACGTCTCAGGCCGCCCTGCTTCTTTATTCTTTATCCCCAAAATACCCGAAGCCCCTTGCCTTGGGGAAGATGGATCTGAGACTAGTTCTCCTCCTCCTTTAGCTGCCTTGAGCGTTAACCCTCTCTTTGCTGCAAACCTCTGCATCTCAGCGTTTGGCTTTCTACGCATGGGGCAAAAGAACCTTGTCCAGTAACAATACCCATTTCTCAGCTCACACATTTAATCAGAGGATTTTGGCAACTGCAGGATTGTCTTTTCATCCAGGATCTCCCCTGGAAGTAGTGTCCTGCTATATCAGTGCACAGACAGCAGCATCCATCACTAGTTTTAGTCCCATTTCAGAGGGCAGACCCTCTTTCCGGTTGTACTTTGGTCCATGGCGCTCTGCCCGCGCGGTGTATCAGGTACCAGTCTTTACTTCTGTCAGGCTTCGGGGGCTTTCCTCATACGCTGTGTCCCGACCGATCACAGGGCTCCCTTCACCAGGGGTGTCGGTATGGCCTGGGCTCTCTGATGAGCGGGACCTCTGTAGGCGGACCATCTGAGTCCGGATTCCAAGCCATGCGTAGTGTCCGGGATGACTTCATAGCGCCGAGGCCGGTGTCGAGCCCGGAAGGGAAAGCAGGCGACCTCGGCTCGGCCCGGCCTGGGTTTAGGGGTTTGCTCCCGGGCCCTTCTGGCTACCTGGTGGTGGCCGCGGGCGTTCCCGGAGGCTGCGGCGTAGCTCCTGAATGAAGGTGTCTCTGAAGCGGGCAGCGCGGCAGCCCAGGGAGCCCGCGGTCCCTGCCGCGAGGGCTCGCAGGCGCCGGGCCGCGTCCTGCCCGTGTACCTGGGCCTGCAGCAGTACGAAGGCGGTGAGCTGCGCCGCACGCCGGATGGGCCGCGACTCAGAGAGACGCTCCACCAGCTGCGGGCTGTGCAACAGGGCGGCCAGCAGCCGCCGTAGAATCATCCTCGGAGCGTCCCGGAATCCAGAGCACGCCGCTCTCACTTCTGATCGGCGACGCCTGACTACGGACCACGTCTGCGCCGGCGCCGCCGGATGACGACACTGCCGCGCTGGGATTGGAGCACGGGATTAAGACTTTTCACAGCGGCCTCCGAGCGTTTCCGGTTCCGCTACCGCCGGGGCGGCTTCGTTTTTCTCGCAGTGGCGGCGTCCTCGACCGAAATCTGTGCGTTATGTCGGGTGGCCTCCTGAAGGCGCTGCGCAGCGACTCCTACGTCGAGCTGAGCCAGTACCGGGACCAGCACTTCCGGGTGAGGCAAGCGGGGCAGCGAGAAGGGGAGGCCCCGGGCCAGAAGGCTGAGAATTGGTTTGCTCTTGTCTCATTGTGTCGTCTCCCATTCCCTGGTATCCCGAAACGCGAAGGGAAGCCTCGGTGCCTGCTGTGGAATGGATTCTGAAAGGGCGTTTGGATATCACTGAATCCTCTTCTCTCGTAGGCAGGGAATTTGAGGCTCGCTCTCACATTCCCTAGCAGCCGCTGCCCGATCCCCGGGGCAGTGCAGACGGGCGGCAGTAGTACTGGCGTCTCAGGTTTTCCCGAACGGTGCGGCGGGAAGGTGACTTTATGATGAGGGAAAGCGGTGTCTTTTTGACACGTGGAGCATGTGGAGGCGCCATCCTGACCCAGATACCGGGGCTTTTAATTATTTTTAAATTTTCAGTTACATCAGCCAAACTGCGCTTTGGCGTTTCGCGTCCTCTCCTTGGGCTAGTTAAACGGCCCTCCACAAGTTGTACGTGGTGAGTGGCAGACACAGTTGAGCCCTGCCTCCACTTTTAGGGAGCCCTTGGAGTGTAGAGGGGGGACCAGCATGTTAAGTGTCTGGATGTCAAGATCGGAGAACTGCTGGGTTTCAGAAGAGGGAAATTTTCGTTTGGCCCACGTCACAGCAGATTCTGTGGAAAAGGGGGAGGCTACAGCTATTAAAGGTGGGTTCTTCAGTATCAGCAAAGGCGGGGATGGGGTGGAGGTGACTGACACTCATTAACTAGTGGTTGTTTAGTAAATTTGTATTGAGTGCTGTTGCTGAAGCCTTCTGCTAAACCTTAGAGAGGGAAGACAGTTTCCACACCCTAAGACTTCATAATCCTCTAGGGATTATGGGATTGTAAATGGAAGGACTGTAAATGTACAGATTTACAATGGAGGTAAGTGATCATAATCTAGGCAGAAATGATGAGTGGAAAGGGAGGGGCTGTGAGGATTCAGAAAATTCCCTGTGACGGGGAAAGGAGGGGTCACATACAGAAGAAGGTAGGTGTGGAGAATGTTTAAAATGCATTAGTAGGGTAGGGAAATGGAAATTTGAGGTCAAATTGAGAAGGATCTTAGATTTTCACGCAGTCAACTGTTTTTAAATGCTTACTGTATGCCAGGCATGATTTTTCATTCTATCACTTTTACAGGTCTCATTACTTTAGAAAGTTCCACATCATAACCATCCTGAATTTCAAGCATCCTGCAAGATTAAAACAGTGAAAGGATTCAACTTTTGCTGTTGTTTATCTCTGCAGTCTAAAGCCTATAGCTTCATTTAGATAGTAGTAAGATACTGTCTTGTAGAATTTCTACAGTGTTTCCTGAATGGGATCCACATTATTATCGTACCTTAAATAAGTACTTATACCAGTTGTCCTAAACTGTAGGCTGTTTGGTGGGACATGACTTGTATGTGTGAGAAAAGAAGGAAAAAGGAAAATGCTTCTTGACCATAATTTTAACAAATCAGTAACAGCAGTGATAAAGTGAATCTACTTTATTTAATGTCTCATTCCAGAGTCCTGGAAAACCTATTTTTAATGTATCGTTAAAATGACTCTTGTCCTGTGAACTTTTAAGGAAGTATGGGATTGGGGATAAGACTGGGTTTGGATTCCAGCTACAACTACTGATTATATGTGTGACCCTGGACAAGCTACTTAACTGTCTTCCCTCAGGTAGAATGAGGATAATAAATTAGGACCTACTTCATTCAACTCTGAGAATTAAATGAGACTTCCATACGTGGAGATCTGACTTGCAGTCCCTTGATTCTCCCTAGAGGCAGACATATTACCTGTTTCTTGTGTGTGGTATCCATGTATATTCATGCTTTTAAAAAATATAACTTGGAGCATACGCTTCACATTGTTTTGTGCCTTTCTTTTTTCACTTTGCTCTTGGAAATTCTAGGGTGACAATGAAGAACAGGAAAAATTGCTGAAGAAAAGCTGTACATTGTATGTTGGAAATCTTTCCTTTTATACAACTGAAGAACAAATCTATGAACTCTTCAGCAAAAGTGGTGACATAAAGAAAATCATCATGGGCCTGGATAAAATGAAGAAAACAGCATGTGGGTTCTGCTTTGTGGAGTATCCTTCCTGTGTGTTTGATGTAGCTGTTGGCCAGAGGTGGGGCCCAGAGTGGCTGGTACCCTATTTTACAAGATGAGTGAGGATATTCGTTGGTTAGCATCCCTACACTTATCTCTGCCTCTCCTTCCTTCTGTCCAGTGTGCCTATACTCTTACACTGGGAAAGCTATTAACATTAACATTCTTTCTGAAATCCATTTTTTCATAGTTGATTAAGAAAAATAATCTTTGAAAATGTATATGCTTATGGTGTTTCAAAATGTCCAGAGCATAGTGAAAATGAAAGCCCTATACCATTCTAAGTCCAGAGACAATCAGTTACGAGTCTCGTGGGTCTTTCCAGAAGTAATCCTATGGATGTGTGGTAGCGTACTGCATGCACTCATTTTTTTTTCACCTATCTTAGAAATTGCTTCATGTTAGCATATGTAGATCTACCTCTTTTTAAAACAACTGTATAGTATTTCATTATGTAGATGTATATAGCTTGATTTTATAGGTCAAAACCAAAGCTATATTTACTTGTGACCATGTATTCTCTCCCTGGAAACTCCAAATATTGGACCTTCTGGATTTATCCTTTGATGTTTTGTTTTTTAACTAATATTTTTCGGTCATTTTGTTTGAGAAATTTTCCAGACCTGATCTACCGTGTCTTGAATTTTCTTTTCTGTGCCCTGAATTGTTTCTTTTGGTTGTATTTATGCCGTAAAATTTCCTTCAGTTTCTGGTGATCCCTGGATTTCTGATCATAATTAGGGGAAAAAAGACTATGTGGATCTAGGCGGAACTACTTTTTAAAATAATTAATTAATTAATTAATTTGGCTGCGCCGGGTCTTAGTTGCAGCACACGATTCGTTGCTGCTCTAGTTCCCTGACCAGGGATCAAACCCGGGCCCCTTGCGCTCGGAGCGCAGAGTCTTAACCACTATACCATTAGGGAAGTCCCCAGGCAGAACTTCTTAAGTTGCTGCCTTGCCTTTGGGACATGTGGGTTTCTCAAATGCTAGAATGAAAAGGGATTTTATTTGGCTTGCTAATGTTAAAGACAATGCCCTAGTTCCTCCAGACAGTTCAGATCCCTATCATTTTACTTTTATTTGCCTGGGATTAAATGCCTTTCTGTTAACAGGTCTTTTCCCCACATAGACACCTTTAATTAAACCCTATATGCAGCCTCACTTGTTATTCAACTTGGAATTAAGAGCCTCCTGGGGGCTTTCCTGGTGGCGCAGTGGTTGAGAGTCCGCCTGCCAATGCAGGGGTTCGTGCCCTGGTCCGGGAGGATGCCACGTGCCGCGGAGTGGCTAGGCCCGTGAGCCATGGCCGCTGAGCCTGCTCGTCCGGACAGGCTCCGCAACGGGAGAGGCCACAACAGTGAGAGGCCCGCGTACCAAAAAAAAAAAAGCCTCCTGGGCTTGCTGTCTCCTTTAAGCCCTTTCAAGGGTATTTCGCACTGTGACTTTGTTTCATCCACTAGTACTCTTCACCTTCTGTTGAATCTCTAGTCTGCTTATGGTCTCTTCTCCTCTTTGTATACGTGTTTCTTTTCTGTTTTAATGGGGGCCTTGAGAAGTAAAGAAGAGAAAACGTGCTCTATCAGCTTGAACCAGAAGCCCCACTTTTTTTTAAATATGTATATTTATTTATTTATTTATTTATTTTATTTATTTTTTGGCTGCGTTGGGTCTTCATTGCTGTGCCCGGGCTTTCTCTAGTTGCAGCAAGCAGGGGCTACTCTTCGTTGCGGTGCGCGGGCTTCTCATTGCGGTGGCTTCTCCCGTTGCGGAGCACGGGCTCTCGGCGCATGGGATTCAGTAGTTGTGGCTCGTGGGCTCTAGGGTGCAGGCTCAGTAGTTGTGGCGCATGGGCTTAGTTACTCTGCAGCATGTGGGATCTTCGTGGACCAGGGATTGAACCCGTGTCCCCTGCATTGGCAGGCGGATTCTTAACCACTGCGCCACCAGGGAAGTCCCAGAAGCCCCACTTTTGATTTCGGTATCTGGTTTCTGGATTCTGCAAGCTTTTCCCACTCTTCCTTCAGATACGAGGGACGAGTGCCTAGGTTTTACTTTTGCCTCTGGTGGCAATACTGTAAAATAGTTCACGGGGGACAGAAAAGGCAAAGAAAATACTAGATAATAACCAGTCTCTAAGAACTGGAGTGTTTTTGCATCTGCCTTGAAGGTCAGAGATCAACAATCATGATGGCAAATACCTGAAAGGCTACCGTTCATTGTTAGTGTTTTTTTCCTCAGTTTGCCCTTTAGCATTCATTTCATTCAACAAAAAATTATTGAATGCCCACTGTGTGCTAGGCATTGTGTAGATGCTGACACTGGAATTTCAGTGTTTCCCTACCTGTGTAATTAAAGACAAGGGGAAAAAGTCCAGATCAGTATTTCCTAAACCCAGCTAATGATCATAAGTATTACTTACAGAGATTTTTTTTTTTTAATAGCACCCCAAAGACAGATTTAGTAGATCTGATTTGGAACTACTAATGTGAGTGATATTTTGAGTGTTTCCTTCTAATGAAATGCAATGGCAATTCATATGTACCGTGACCTCTTTGTAAGGTTCTTGAATATACAGCTTCATATTCAGGGAACCCAAAGATGCTGTTTTCTTGGATAACAGTTCATGGTTAAAACCTGCACTGAACATATTTTATATTTTGCAAACCAAAATATGGAGACAGTGGAACCAGATACTTAACAGGATTATCAAAAAAATCATCAGTGTAGCCACGGATAAGTGTCATTTTTGACTGCTTCTGGACCAATCTCAAACAGGCCTGTGCAAGACAAATTATTGTCTTTGAACTCCATCTGGTTGGATTAGTTTTTGTACTTTTTCTTAACTCAGCTTCATTTAGATGTTGCTTCCTCTGTTTACAAAAATATCTGGAGAAATGCTAATTCCTTAATAATTATAATTAAGATACTATTTAAGAGCAGATGCAGAAAATGCCATGCGGTACATAAATGGAACTCGTCTGGATGACCGGATCATTCGCACAGACTGGGACGCAGGCTTTAAGGAGGGCAGGCAGTATGGCCGTGGGCGTTCTGGGGGCCAGGTATGCAGAAAGGTTCTCTGAGTTCAGCCTTTGCCTGGGATTCCAGTCCTAAATGACAAGTGTTTTGTCAATTTGTATTTGCTCTTTTGAAAATAACTTTGTGCTTATAACCTTGGCTTGAAGTGAATCTGAAAACCACCCATTGGGGTTGGTAAATTATTTTTATACTTGATCTTAGCCAAAAGGCTGAGAAGTGATGATAAATTATTTTTAAAAACCATTAAGTAGTATATTATCTACATCACAAGCAACCATTAATTGGACTTCTGCTAGGGGCTAAATGTTCTCCACCTGCCAAGAGTGTTGAACAAAAACAAAATGCAGTAAAATGACTTTTACATTGTTATTTTAAAATAGTTTATTCTTTGCAACGTGCTATCTTTGAATGCTGAGTATGAACCTGGTGTTTGGTAAAACACCATTAGGTAGTCTTAAATAATTTTGCAGGGCAGTTGAGCTATATTATCAGTTGCTTAAAATTATGTTCTGTTCTGCTTGAAATGTTCACATCATGACACCTGAAAAGGCGTAGTTATTTGACACATTTTAGGAAGCATGTTTGTTACACTCATCTTCTCTATACTGTAACATGTTCTTTTCAATTAAGGTGCGAGATGAGTATCGTCAGGACTACGATGCTGGGAGAGGAGGTTATGGAAAACTGGCCCAAAACCAGTGAGTGGTGAGAGCCCCGTCATGAAAAACTCACTCCTTTGGCCTGTTGAATTTGATGTGCATTCCCAAGGTCTGCGAACCTGCCTATTTTTACCAAGCTTTATTTAATATGTCTCTACTGAGCTGGAAGGCTCTTCATGGTTTTCCACTTAAAAACTTATTAAAGGACAGAATCCAAAAGAATGCCTTTAATTCTATAGTCTTAACATCTTGGTTGTGTGTCAGATTACCAGAATGATTTCTGTTACCAGGTCAAAAATTGTGTTCCTTAGCAACAGACTTCATGTGTTATGTTGCTCTATCAGCCAAAACACACTTCTTTTAGGAAGAATGGAAAAAAAATTTTTAAGTGTTTACCATGTTTGCATCTAAGTAGGTTTATGGTCTGCCGTGGGGCCTGGAATTACTATTTTTATAATTTTAAGTTTGCATGAGATAAAGTTTAATAAGTGGAGTTTTGCTGTGTAATGTAGCTTTACTCTAAATTAGGAATAGATTTTGATAACTGAATTTTTTTCTATGTTGAATTTTAACCTCTAAAGGCAAACTTAGAGTCAAGGGAACTTCTTAAATAGTTGGGTAAGCCTTAGACAGTCGCAGGGGACACCACTTCTTATGTGCTTTTTATATCAGGAAATTAGGTCAGGACTTGAAGGGTATTTACTAAACACATTTTTCAAAATATGTTTTCGCTAACGCTAAAAAAACCAAGGGTCTGTATTAGAGGGAACCTCAACTATTCTAAGGGCAAGGGGGGGACGCTGTCAGTAGGAAATGGGGAGGAAATATCAGGAGATGTGAGTTAAACCAGTGCCTTGACATGATGAAGGTTGTTAGAGCCAGCAGATCTATATTTTTCATTTTCAAACTGATCTTGGGAATTGAGTGGGGTTGTTTGTTTTGTTTTTTAAAAAAAGAGCTTAAAGATCAAGAGAATACTTAACAAAATCAGAAATGCTTCCCTCGGGAAATGTTTTGGCTCATTCTCATACTGAAGTCTGTCTTGTTTTTTCCCTAGCTAACTGTGCTGAGTTTCAGAGCCTGGGTAGTGAGCTGGTGGTCTCTACAGAGAAGGCAGTCTGGAGGATTTATTTTGCATTTGTAAGGCAAGAGAGAATTTCTCTAATATTATGTGAACTATTGCTCATTTTAAACTGGTAGTCTAGTATTTTCCCTGATGTAAGTGATATTTTTTCATCTAGCAACAAAGTATCTCCTAATTTCCAGTAGTTTGTGAAGTTGGGGCTGAAGTATCTCAGTTGAACATCTTTCATGTTACAGTAAGTGTATGTTTTCTCAAATTTAAACTGGCTATTTGAACTTTAAAAGAAAGATATCTCTAAATTAGTTGTATTTAGGAAAACATTTGCAAATATCTAATTTAATGAGGACAAACAATTCATTATTAATTAAAATCTTTTTTACACTGTAGTTTGAATTAATGTATTTTATATTTTGCAGTAAAACGTAACTCAGATTTCTATAGGCATTAAAACCACAGTGGTTCCTATTTGAATTGTCTTCTGTAACAGATTTCAATAAAATTGGACCAACTTATTGTCTGTGTTTCCTCACCGATAATGACATTGAAGCGGTCTTTACTCTGGAATACATTTTTGGGGGGAAATCTATGAATAGTATGCAGAATTTGCATGTCCATTTTAATTTGACAGTTACTAATATTGCTGGTCACTAGCTACATGTAGCTAATTAACTAAATTAAAACAGTTCCTCAGTCAGTCACATTAGCTACATTTCAGATGCTCAATAGCCACCCGTGGTTAATGGCTGTTGTAGATAATGGAATTTGTAGGATGCCAATACAGAACATTTCCATCACTGCAAAAAATGCTACTAATGGACAGTGTGGGCTGCTTAGAGCCCACACTGGTCACTGTTAATAGATGAGCCTTGTCGTGACTGGTATGTCACTGGGAAAAATTACCAAACAACAGTACATTTTATCCAACACAAGAGAACACACATTTATAAAGGCATTTAGTTTATTTTTCAAAAAAATATTTTTGCTAGAAGGTTTGAGTGATTTTTACATGATCACAATCTTTAAATAATTTTTTTCTAACCAAAAGGTACCATTTAAGTGGACAGCTTGTCTAGATTTGCTTTTGTTAACACCCAAATACAATTAGCACTTCTGATGGCATTCCCTAGGTCTTCTTAATTATCTACAGGCCAGGAGGCAGAGCCTAGCACAAAACAAAGTATGTGCTTTACACCTGCTGATTAGTTCAGTTGCATAACAATTAAGCAGAGCAGGTAATCAGGATATCTAATTCACACTATTAACACACTGGTTCTCGCCTGAAGAGTCTGAGTCACCCAGAGCTCCCAATTATTCCTTCTAACCCAGGGAAGTAGTATACCACAACTGCAAAGAAAAGGGGCAGCTCAACTTAGGCTAGTGCTGGCTGTGTCCCAGTTAGGTCTGTTTTGTTCCAACTGTGAATTCAAGGTGACCAATGTTAATCATATTCAATGATAAGTAGAAAACAAACTGCAAAGCCAAAACAAATGATTTGGGGATTACTGGCAGCAACTGCTGCTTCTCCCTTCCTTAGGTGCATCCCTTCCTTAAGAGAAGGTTGGTTCTCTATGATTCTTGAGTAGAACTTAACTAAAAGTTGAACTAAATCTACATTCATTGCTATAGATTTAACAAAAGGATAAAAGCAACTACAGACTGGTAAATTTGCTGATGGAGAGGACTGAGCAGCTTGTTGAAGGCACATCATAAGCAGCTTTTAGTTTGATAAGGCCTGCCCTCAACCCCAAAAGCATAAGGTCTGCCCACCTTGAGGGCACCCAAACAACTCAGTGCCAAGCTAGTGAGAGTAAAACAATGCCTGTCTCTTCTACCAACAGCCCAGACTGTATTTCCAAAATTTCTGTTGCAAGGAAGCCATTATTGCAAACATCAGGATAAAGGCCATTCTAAACTTAGGGCTTGGGCTAAATAGAGGTTTGCACCTAATCTCAAGATGGGGGGAAGCAACTATGTGTGCTGAAGCAAGTTTCGTGAACAACAGAGAAACATTTTAACCAGACTTAAAATATTTGACATTTAAGCTAAAGCATGCTGGACGATGTACCTCAAGGTGCCCTACTAAACTGGACGTGAAAGGCACCCTGGACTTGGGACAGCTCACCTTAGATTCTCTCTGCCTCCCTGTTAAGAGCATGACCATTTCTCAGAGTGGAGGAAATGGCAACTGAAACTTTGGGCATTAAGATTTTGGCCAGAACACAATTCTGTCTCTTCTGTATGCCTCGTTCTGTCAGAGAGTGAGATACGAGATACGGAGCTCTAAAGTATAAGACATTTTAAATCAATAGTCTAGTTACCCATTACAAAAAAAAAAAAAAAGGCAAATGTCTCACATACAGGTTTGAAAAATCTCATGTTTGTATAATTATGCCTGAAAACCTCAAGAAGACACCCAACCCATTTTGTCACCTTTCCTAATGCTGATACAACCCTACCTGTAGCAGCACAAAGTGCCTCTAATAGCAGTCTTTTTAATGACTTGAAGCACAATAAGAAATACTGACCTGGTTTTATATTATACTAAGGAGTTTGAGTGACTAGGAAAGTGCTGGGGCTGTTTACAATGTAAACATTGGTGTTGGTGCTTGGAATGTCTGGGGATGGGAACCCTGCATGTAAACATGTTCTGACTCCACCCTCAACTGCTGGCAGTCAGCCCTACCTTATGGCCAAGTTAAACTGCACATTTTAGCTTTTTATTTTCAACACCTCACACCTAACGAGGCATAAACCAAAGCATCTTCTGCCATTTACTTGGTATTTTTCTGTACAAGCTTCTGAATTTCTTGTATACACGTTTGTTGTTTTTCCTCCCCCAGTTCAGAAAAGATGTAGTTTAACATGCATCTTTCCCTATTTCCTTTCCTTTCCAATATCACAAAACTTTGTTAGATTAAAGATGCAAGATCCATTACTTTAATCCTAATGCAGCCAAGGGTAATAAATCAGGACAGGGCCACTTCTGCCTTCCCCCAGAAGATGAGGTTCATGGAAGCAAAAAAAAGGACTCCTGTGCTAGAGTCTCAGGGTTGGTCAAGCAGAGGCAGATGAGCCCTGCATGCTGTTGAGATCACTAGAGAAATAAGAGGGAAAAAACTCATAACATTTGCTGTACTCCCACAGTTTCATGTCTCCCTTAATACCTTTCCTGTTCTCTCCTCTCCACCCACGTGCAAAATACCTGAAGTCAGTCTTCGGTTTTGAATGTTTATATTTTAAATACCCTTGAAATAGAAAGGTATTTGGCAAATCTGAATTTCTTCCATATGGGAAACAATTGCTGTAGAAAGGCTGAATTCTCATTTGTTTGACCACTAGTTTTGACAGATACTAATTTTTTAATGGGTCAAAACCAGAAAAATCCAGGGAATCAGTGTTCCAGCAAAAGCCTTTGTAAGATTAAAGCATTTATTATAAATGCTTCTTAAAACCAAGATTGAAATCTCTCATGTGTGAAGATAAATGGACCCTCAAGGTCGCTGTCTTTTTCTCATACCTTAATCAACTCTTCCCAAAGCAGGCACTGTGCTTACAAGTGTGCCTCCATAAATAGAACATACCAGTCAGTTTATGGCCACTTCCTTTTCACCCTTCAAAAGGAATGTGACTCACTTGGAGAGGGAAGTCAGTGTAAGGTGCTGCTGGTAAAAATAAAACAGGACTGGCTTTGTCTGAAACCCCTTCTAGCTACCCTTTATGCCCCAGGGAACATCTACTATTCTCAGAGTTACGTTGTATCAAAAACATCCTGCATTTTTATAGGTTCTGGAATTAAAATTTAAACCTGTATTCAGTTCACATCTAACTAAGTTTCAAAAGCTGCACCAAATCTACTAGGCTTTTTTTTTTTTTTTTTAATACTCTGCACTGCATGCTCTGTCTATATGCATGCGTTTGGATAATAAATATTAAATATGGGGGGACACACACACACAGAATCCATAAAATTAAAAATGAAACCAAACTGAACATTAAAAAATAGTACATAGTAACTAGGGAAATGAGTAAGGGCAGAAAATAAATTTGAGGTAACAACAGTGGCCCAACACCACTGATCTGAAATATCTGTAAAAATTCAAATAAGTGTTTGGAGATTCAAGTAACAAACCATCTGCTCCAACTTGGTCAGACTTCCCAGAGCCCCTGCTGAGTTTCAGTCCATGAGCCGGCACTCACACAGCTCCTTGTAAATCCTCTTCCGCACTCGGGGCATGTCTTCTTGGGAAAACTGGAAAGGCTGCTCTAAGGCGAGGCACTTGCAGTACTGCAAAGGTCCCAGAAACACTTAAGTGGCACGTGGAGTTATGTACCAGCCTAATGTATTTTACTAGATGCAGACCTAATAGCATAGGGTCTAAGGCAAATGTTAAAGTTTGTTTAAACTCGTAAAAATGTTTTAAAACGTTTACCTCCAAATTATAGTCAATTTTCCAGGCAAGTATATGTCTTGGGATTCTCCCTCCCTCCCCACTCAATACTGTGAAAAGCCATACCGATGAAGGGGCTCCAGTTCTTCTAAAGGTGAAATCTGCTGAGAATGCAGCCAGACCTAACATGGCCTTTAAGTGAGAACTTGAATTTGTTTACAAACGTGAGTCTCATGAGTGAGCCCATCTTCCAAGATCTTCGGATATCTCTAAATTCATGGATTATGTACTGTAATTTCCTTCATAAATGTATAACAACTTTTTCAATAGCCCTTTGAGACCTAAGATCTACAGCATGAGAAAGCACAGTGTTTAAATGTGGCCCTTATTTAAAATCTAATTAGGTTTTACTCTGTGGTTAAAGACCACCTACCAATGGTTAGAAAAATATAGTTAATACTACCAATGCCAAGGGTCTATGAAACAGACAAATTCACATCAGTCTCCAATGTGGCTTACCAATAGCCTCTGATAAGACATGGATGATACCAATTATTCATCTTCAGCCTTAGAAGGTGATTCTTCCTAATGATAATATATGAAAATGCAGAACTACTGCTTCCCAACAACAAAGGAGGGTTGGGAGGAAAAGTGTTCTGTTATCTGTACCTAGTACCTGTATACATCAGAGGGATCCCACTTCTCCCTAAACCCAATAAATTTAATTTATAAATTGTAAATACTGAAAAAACTATTTCTTTACCTGGAGCACAAATACTCCACAGTCACTGTCATTTTTCTGTTGTGGAATACACTACGGGGAAAAACAAAACGATCATTAAAACCAAGTATTCCTCTTCAGATAAGAAAAGCTGTTTTTATGGAAAAATGAGCGAGACAGGAAACTTGTCTGTATCCAAGACAGCTGGTGTGTACCTCTGGTATTCAAAGTGTTTGAGTTTATGGAGGCATCTGGCCATGAAAAGAGCTATCAATCAACCACAACTTAGAACATTTTGCCTAAATATGAGAAGTGGGAAATCAAATAAAATCCTATTTTAAAACTTCCATTTGGATAATTAGTTTTGCTATCAATTCACTGACAATGGAATCAAAATGGAATTG